CGCCCGCTCCGGACCGCAACGGGTCTGCCCCACCCGAAATCGCTGTCGTACATCGGGAATCTAGGCGAGCAAACAATCGTGATCGTTGCCCCGTCGGGATTCCCCATAGGATAAAGCTGCGGGTCCCTCTCCCAATCGGCTACGCGCTTCCTCACCGCAGCATTACCGTACGCCTTCACATTCCGACTCAACTGCTCGGCGCACCACCGGGGATCGTGCGACAATACGTCGCCGGCGGTCGCGGGCGTCGGGATGACCTGTATGGCGTTTCCGAAATACAAAGGGTCCAGGTTCGGCTCTAAACGGTGACGGCAGTTCACAGCCATGCGAAACGTCGTCGTTTTGGAAGCTGGAAGTTTTCTTCCTCGAGTCACGGCTCGCCACAGCAGTGCACAGATCGACTGAAACGATGAAATCTCCTCCGTCACCGTTCCGTCCGCTTCAATTTCCCGTTTCGTATCATTAAGAGATGCTTTTAATTTCAAAATTGATTCTCGGCTGAAGCTGAATATCCGCTCCCTCACCGGAGCGTCAAGGTTTGAGGGCGCCTGAGGTCCACCGGCGGGGAGATTCAGTACCGCCGGCGAGATGAATACAGAGTCCCGGCTGAAATCCGGCCTCTGCGTGATCCTCTCTTCGCCTCTGGTGACCTCCGCAAACGTGTTTATAAAATGCCAGAAGGAGGTGCCGTCCGTGACGGCGTGATTGACTGCGAATCCGATGAAGACCCCGTCGGCGAGCTCTGTCACCTGGACGGCGAGAAGAGGGTGAAAATGGCCCTGATAGCAAAGCGTCCGGTCAAACGCGAAGAACTCCCTCACCACTTCCGGGACGTAGGGGGAGCGAGCAATATCGCTTACACAAAAGTCGGTATTGGCGGCGTGGATGAAGAGGGCTCCGGCGTCGTTGCAGGTGATGTAAACGTACCCGTCGGAATCTGTGATGAACCGGCCGGCGAGCGGAGGGAAGTGAGTCAAGGTCTGGGCGAGCGTTGACTTGAGCGAGTAGATGAAATCAGAGAGGGGGAACGGGGGGCGGGTGAAAAGGCAGCCAGTTTGAATGTAATGAGTGGAAAGCATGGGGAGATCGGAGACGGAAAGCTTCAAGGGCGGGAGAGAGGAACTTTTGGCCGGGAATACGGTGCATTTGGAGAGGGTGGTTGTAGTCGACATGGCGGCGGCCAATATTGTTGGGTCAATTCCGAGATTATAATATGCCAAGTATTTATAGTGGTGGACTGAGATTGTGCACAGAGGGTAGGGCTGTAGGAGGGGAGCACTATTTTGCACTTGGAGACTTGGGGTCATTTTGCAATGCTTTTGCTTTTTTAATGAAATGGGAAGAAGTCATTAAATAAAAGTTGATTGTGTTTGAGAAAAAAGTGATTTTGAAAAGTAAATGTGGGTAGTGTTTGGTAAAATAAGTGCTTTTTGTGTAATATAAAAAGTAAAAACACTTTTGACGCGGAAGCCGAGAAAAATAAAAGTTGTAGTGTTTGGGCAAAAATGTGTTTTTTTAAAGCCAAAAATTGAGAAGTGCTTTTTTAAAAGTGGTTACAAATCAACCCTTGGAGTATATAAAAAGAGCTTTAGCTCTCTCTAAAAGAAAAACTTTGGTACTAAAATAAAATAAAAAATATTTGAAAATAATTAAAATAGTTATAGATAGTAACTTTAGTCAACTCAATTAAATACTTCGTCCAAAAAAATGAATTGAATACTATCTCCTTCCTAGTGAAAATTTCTCATTACAAAATGACACGATTGTTTAGATAATTATTAATATAGGAATTTCGAGCATATTTTGTTAAATAATTCGAAGATTGATAATTGTGATGCTATAAATTATTTATTGTTAATAAATGTAGTATATTACTCTGTATATAATGAAGTCACTGACGATAATTGTGATGTTATAAATATACTCCGTATTATTTTTATTATTTGAAGATTAAATTGTCAATTAAAAATGTTAATTGTTTTCTAAGTTAAGTAACTTTAAATTTATTTATTTTTATTAAGAATTAATGTTGTGTTTGATACTCCTTCGTATCAAAATGATTGCCGAGTTTTAATCGTCATATATGATGTATGTATAATCGTCAAAGCTACAACTCATATATGATGTATGAGTTGTATATGAGTTGTAGCTTTGACGATTATACATACATCATATATGAGGTCAGGCTTCTCATGGCCACACTGATTCCAATGAACGTACGTATTTAAGCTAGATGGTTAAATTAGTCGGATTATGGCTATGTTTGGCATGCATAAGTCAGTGTCTTCTAGTTTTTGTATTATTTAAAAAGTTCTTAAAAACTTTTAGTTGTGTGTTTGGCATGCCAAATATTAAGAGCTTCTATAAAAATAAAAGATCTTTTTTGAGATGCTACAGTGAGTAGCATCTCAGATAAGTCTGTAGCTTCTAGCATTAATTAGTCCCAACATCTTGTATACCAAACGGAGTTAAACCAAACAGTCAGCTTTTTATCAAACAGCTACTGCATTTTTCTTTTAAAATCTTTTTATTCACTAAAAGCTACTAGTCACTGAAAAGTTCATAAAAGTGTCTTTTCAGCTAGTTGTGTCAAACATACCCTTTATATATGTTTAACAGAACTAGCTGAAAAGATATACGGAGTATTTGTTAGCTTTTTCATAACGGTTGGTTTTTAGTGATCGAAAAGATTTTAAAAGGAAAAGTTGGTAGCTGTTTGGTAAAAAGCTGACTGTTTGATTTAGTTCTGTTTGGTATATGAGCTGTCAGGAATAATTAATGCTAAAAGTCACAGACTTTTCTCAGATGCTACTCCTTGTAGAATCTAAAAAAAGATCTTTTATTTTTTTGAAAATCTCTTAAAAATTGATATGTCAAACATACAACTAGAAGCTTTTACAGACTTTTTAAATAATATAATAGCTAGAAGGCGTAGACTTATGCGTGCCAAACATGCACATATCAACAAAAATTACAAGAGTGAATTACCTAAATATGACTGAAAATGGCCAAAAAAACACAAATAAGACTACATTTTTTAAATTCCTCCAAATATGATTATTTATGTGTGTTTGGATAAATATACCAATTTAATTTTTGAAATGTTTAATTCATAATAAAATTGTAGTGGTTTATAAAAAATCGTTAAAAAAATAATACAAAATTAATAACATATGTACAAAATAAAATTTTCAATTTTTTTTAAATAAAATAAAAAACGTAAGAGACAAAACACTGCCACCTCCAACTCCAATCATCGGAGGAAAATGCCATATTTTAGGAATGTCATAATAATGACAGATTCAATAAAAATTTTGGCATTATCAACAGTAATAATGTCATTTTTTATTTTTTATAATTCTATTATGAATTAAAACATTTCATTATGAATTAATACTCTTAGGGTATTTAGGATAGAAAATCAATGTTTAGTCCTACTTAGAGGTATTTAAAAAATAGTAGTCATATTTGTGCTTTTTAGGCAAAGTTTAATCCTATTTAAAACAATTTCTAAAACGGAAAGAAGTGTGGCTTTGGTAGTCGAATTTGCATTAAAATGGTCAAATGAGTCCTTATATAGGAGGCTTTGTCCGACTGTCGCCATTTGGGGCAATTCCCGGTACAATTTTTTTAACGAATTTTTTTGAACATCTTATTCATTAAATCTAATTTGGCTCGTACATATAGTCTGGCTAATTTAACCGTCTAGCTTAAATACGTACGTTCATTCATATAGGAATCAGTGTGAAGATGAGAAGCCTGACCTCATAAATGACGTCAAAGCTACAACTCATATATGATGTACTCCATATGTACTATAGTCATAGAAAAATCAAAGGCATATTATTTGGAATATACTTGGAGCGAAGGACAAGTGGACAACCACAAAGGCCTTATCTATCAACTTTTTTACTTCATATATCAATAAACTAGTTCATGTATTTTTTCAAATAATTTAAGATATAGCACTATCATTTGTTTCTTTTTAGTTACAAGTTTTCAAAATGGACAATTTTACACCATTCACACACTATACTTGACTACATTTTGTACTATACATTAATGTATGAAAATTAATTTTTTGGGAAAATATTGTTGAATTCATCTCATTATAAATTTTAAAAATTCATTTTTTCTTATTTACGAATGGAGAATTAAATATAGCGAGAGTCAAAATTGTGTGTTGACAAGCGTGAAAATAAGAATGTTTCAAATATAAAAAAATGAATGATACATTCAAGAATTATTATATATACACTACTTATTTTGCAAAAAGTAAGATATTTATGCACTGTGGCAATACCATATACTTTATTAAAGTGTAATGTAGTTGTTTTATGGTAGATTTCTTTTTTAAACGGAAATTAGACAACAATTCGATGTGACTCGAAAAGGAAACTCGGGCAATCATTTTGATACGAAGGAGTATCAAACACAAAATTAATTCTTAAGAAAAAACAATAAAGTTAAAGTTACTTAACTTACTTCATCCGTCTCATTTTAAGGTTCTCACTTTTTTAGATGTTCCATATAAAAGTTCTTATTTCTATTTTAGAAAACAATTAACACTTTTAAATGACAATTTAATCTTCAAATAATAAAAATAATACGGAGTATATTTATAACATCACAATTATCGTCAGTGACTTCATTATATACAGAGTAATATACTACATTTATTAACAATAAATAATTTATAGCATCACAATTATCAAACTTCGAATTATTTAACAAAATATACTCGAATTTCCTATATTAATAATTATCTAAACAATCGTGTCATTTTGTAATGAGAAATTTTCACTAGGAAGGAGATAGTATTCAATTCATTTTTTTGGACGAAATATTTAATTGAGTTGACTAAACTTACTATCTATAACTATTTTAATTATTTTGAAATAATTTTATTTGAAAATAAAATGAATTGAATAGTATAATTTAGTACCAAAGTTTTTTTAGAGAGAGCTAAAGCTCTTTTTAAATACTCCAAGTCTCCAAGTGCAAAATAGTGCTCCCCTCCTATAGCCCTACCCTCTCTGCATAATCTCAGTCCACCACTATAAATACTTTGCATATTATAATCTCGGAATTGACCCAACAATATTGGCCGCCGTCATGTCAACTACAACCACCGTCTCCAAATGCACTGTATTCCCGGCCAAACGTTCCTCTCTCCCGCCTTGAAGCTTTCCGTCTCTGATCTACCGATGCTTTCCACTCATTACATTCAAAATGGCTGCCTTTTCACCCGCCCCCCATTCCCCCTCTCTGATTTCATCTCCTCGCTCAAGTCAGCGCTTGCCCAGACCTTGACTCACCTCCCTCCGCTCGCCGGTCGGTTCATCACAGATTCCGACGGGTACGTTTACATCACCTGCAACGACGCCGGAGCCCTCTTCATCCACACTGCCAATACCGAGTTTTGTGTAAGCGATATTGCTCGCTCCCCTATTGATGTTGCTTGGTTTTGCTTGGTGAGAAAATGACTACAATGAGTCCTATTTATGGGAGCTAAAGGATCATTCTAGATCCTTATTAAATGCTAGGATTCTAAAGTATTCTACTTCTCTTTAATCTAGACTCTCCTTAAGAATTCTCTAGTAGAGAATTCTCTAGAACCTTTTTAGCCATAACTCTCTAGAACATTTATAGCTTTAATGACATAGAATATTCTAGATAAATTCATCACTATTTAATACTTCTCCTTGATGCATTTGTCGGTGACTCCAAGCATTCTTCGCTGAAACTGGAATCTGTCTCTTGGCAGGGCCTTCGTGAAAATATCTGCCAATTGTTCTTCTGTTGGGAAGTACCTCATCTCAATATGCCCCTTTGCTTGGACATCTCTCAAGAAGTGATACTTGATATCGATGTGCTTAGTGCGATTTTGCTGAACTGGATTTTTAGCCATCGCAATAGCTGACTTGTTGTCGCAGAATATCTCAGTCACAGAAGTTTGCAATTCTCCCATGTCTTCTAATATTCTTTTTAGCCATATAGCTTGGCACGAAGCTCCGGTTGCTGCAACATACTCGACTTTGGCTGAAGATAGTGCAACAAAATCTTGCTTTTTTTTATCCCTGTGAAAAATTTCCCAAACCCAGCTTGAATGCGTAACCGGAGGTGCTTCTCGTGTCATCTTGAGATCCAGCCCAATCACTGTCGCTATATCCACTTAAGCGTGAGTCATGACTTGTTTTGTACCAAATACCATAATTGATGGTTCCTTGTAGGTACCTAAGGAGTCTCTTTGCCGCTCCATATATAATGAGTCTCAGTTGGACTTTCCATGAACCTCGAGAGCAAGCTTGTAGCATACATGATGTCCGGCCTCGTAGCTGTTAGGTAGAGTAGACTCCCAATCAAACTTCAGTAATTGGTTGTGTCCGTCTGCTTTGACCCATCTTCTTTCTTCAATTTTTCATTAGGAACCAGTGGAGTAACGACGGCTTTGCAGTCTTGCATTTTAAACTTCTTTAGCATGTCCTTAATATATTTTTCTTGAGATAAAAAAATGCCTTCTTCTTCTTGACTTATCTCCATGCCAAGGAAGTAGTGCATTAATCCCAAGTCACTCATCTCAAAGGTGTTCATCATGTCTCTCTTAAATTCTTCAATTAATTTTGAATTATTTCTCATGACAATTAAATAATCAACGTATAGAGAGACGATGAGAATGTTAGATTTACCTTGGGACTTGATGTATAGTGTAGCCTCGTTCTTACTCCTCCTGAACCCTTGATGGGTGGAGTACCCATCAATCTTGCTATATACCAGGCTCGTGGAGCTTGTTTGAGCCCGTAGAGTGCTTTCTTTAGACGAAAAACTTTTCCTTCTTTGATGAATCCTTCCGGTTGCTCCACATACACTTTTTCTTTTAGCTCTCCATTTAGAAAGGTTGATTTAACGTCTAGCTGATAAATTTTCCATTTCTTTTGAGCGGCAAGAGCTATGAGTGTTCTTATTGTGTCCATCCGGGCAACTGGTGTAAACGTCTCTGTGTAGTCAACTCCCGGTATTTGAGCATACCCCTTTGCAACCAGCCTCGCCTTATGCTTCTGAATTGAGCCATCGGGGTTCAGTTTCGTTTAGTACACCCATTTGACTCCAATAACCTCCTTGTTATGTGGAAGATCTATCATTTCCCAAGTATCATTCTTTTCTATCATTTTTATCTCCTCCTCCATTGCTTTAATCCAAACTTTTTCTTTGGAGGCTTCAGTGTAACTATGTGGCTCCAAGGAACAAAAGTTACATGTTTCATAGACGTCAGCAGACTCATATAAGTCTGCTAGAGTTCTTACCCCGAAGGGGTGGAGGTTCTGGCGAGGAGTCATGTTCGCTAGATGTATTGGCTCCGGAAGAGGATCTTGGTGTAGATGTGGGGCTTTGTTGATCGTGCTCTTCTTCTGGGATTTCCTCTAGTTGGGTAGTAGTGGTCCTTCTTTCAACTTTTTCCGTCTCCCAATTCCATGAGGCTTGCTCGTCAAACTCTACATCTCGACTTGTGACCAACTTCTTAGTCTCAAGATTATAGATTCGATATCCTTTGGATTTGGAGCTTTAGCCGAGGAAGATGCCCTTCTTTGTCTTGTCTTCTAATTTGTGCCTTTTCACAGAGGGAACATGAATGTAGCATATGCTTCCGAAGACCTTCAAATGTTTGGCTGAAGGTTTTTGTCCCGACCATGCCTCAATAGGTGTTTTGTTTAAAATCGCCTTAGTTAGACACCGGTTTAGAAGGTAGACTGAAGTATATACCGCCTCTGCCCAGAACATTTTAGGCATTCCTTTTTCAGCTAACGTTGACCTTGCCATCTCCATGACTGTGCGATTCTTCCTTTGGGATACCCCATTTTGTTATGGAGTGTATGCTACTATTAGTTGATGCTCCATGCCTTCATCTTCACAGAACTGATCAAATTATTTTGAGTTGTATTCGGTACCTCGATCGCTTCTCAACTTCTTGATTTGATGACCACTTTGTTTCTCTACGAAGTTCTTGAATCTCTTGAATATTCTAAAAACTTCGGATTTTTCTTGGAAAAAATACACCCATGTCATCCTTGAGTAATCATCGATGAAGAGTATGAAGTACATGTTCTTGGAAACTGAAGGCGTGCGCATTGGGCCACACATATCAGTGTGGACAAGCTCTAGTATTTGTTTGGCTCTCCATGTTTTCTCTGTTGGAAATGGCTGCCTGTGTTGCTTCCCAACCATACATCCTTCACATACTCCCTTTTCATCAAATAGTGGCATGTCTCTCATCATCTTCTTTTGGTGTAGTAATCTCAAGGCATTGAGAATTTGAGATTGAAGTGCCCAAATCTTCGATGCCATAGACTCGTATCACTCAGTTGAGCCACCGTTGCCTTTTGTGGATATTGCCATTGAATTAGAAAGTTTCTATTATTTCCCATTACTTCGGCAATTTCTTGGTTATTTTTCTTGTCATAAATTCGGCAAGAATTTTTCTCAAAGTGTAGGGCATATCCACTTTCCATCATTTGGCCAACACTTAGTAGATTTTGTGCAAGGCGTGGCACTAGGAGAACATTTCTAATATAGCGTGTATCTTTCTTTGTATCTATGACAATGGTTGATAAGTCCTTTTTTGTACTTATTTTTCTTATCAAATTTAAGTGATTTTGATTGGAAATAGAAAGAAAAGGCATGTTTTAGATATTTTGGTTCAAGTTTCATGAAATCAGGAGAAAAATCGCATTCATAATATGTCTGCCGGAATTTCGGGTCAATTGAGCACCAAATGAGTCAATTTGAGTAACAAATGAATTCATACCGGAAGAAGCAAGCATTATATCAAAGTGATCCAGAAGACAATCTTGAAGACCAGGAAACGCAGGATTTACCAGACGAATTTAGCAGAAGGTGCCCAAGTAGGCAGCCATTCTAGGCGCCTGGTTGGCCGCCTACGGAAAAATCAGAAGTCAACAGTTGACTTTGATCCGAACCAGCAGAAGACGGAAGGCTGCCGACGGAGGACGAAGCGGCACAAGGGGAGGAAGCCAACCACCGGCCGGTGCAATTCGACGGCAGGCGGCCAGACAGAAACGGTTGGCGGCCGCCTGCTGGCTTGCGGCTGACGAAGACCGGCGCACGTCAGTTTGCTGGCGATAAGACGGAAGGAGGCCGGGACAGGTCGAAAGGTGGCCGCCTGTTTGGGCGTTTGCGAGAAAATTAAGCCTATAAATAGCAGGCTTTTTCCGCATCTCAAACACACCATTCTAAACCCTAAATCAGCTCTCAACAGCCTCCTTTTATTTTCGAGCTCCAAGAGCAAGTAGAGAGAGAAAACTTCAATCCTCCATAACTTCTACATTTCAGCTCCAAATTGTAAGTTCTTTATATGTATTTTCATCTTCTCAATGAGTAGAATCGGAATCTGTGCTCTGTATGTTCGATCTGATCTTTGAAAATTTCCAGATTATTTTTCAAGTATTTCGCATTTACTTCCAAAAATTAAATAAAATAGTTGTTGATGTTGAATTTATTCCAATTAATTATATAGTTGTTCACTAGCCTCAAGGTAGTTAATTATCTGATTAAAGTTAATTTTCACGAAGCAGAAGTAATTTTTATTTAATTTGGGTAATTATTTGATATTATTGCATAAATTAGAATAAATACTCAAAAAAAGAAAAAAAAATAGTTTCGGTCCTAATTCCATTTTAGTTAACTTAAATATCACTACAAGTAGTTAATATAAAATTTAGTACGAATTTAGAGTATTTTTAGTTGCTTTTTGCATTTTCTAGTTAAAATTGGGAAAAATTATCAATTACTCCCTCCGTCCCATTTATATTATCCCGTTTTACCTTATCAAAAAGTCCCACTTAAATTGTCCCATACCATATTTGGTAAAGTTTGTGTGGTTCAAAATCATTCTTACTTTATTCTTACATTATCAATTAGTATCAACCACACAAACTTACTTTTCTTAAAACTCGTGCCACCCTCTTCCGTCCCAATATAAATGGGACGGAGGTAGTAGTTGTTAAAATTGGATTTTAGGTTTATTAATTCGTGAAAAAATCCAGAAAATTATATTTTAGTTCCTACAAGTTTATTGTTCCAGAATATAAGCCTTGTTCAATTTTTGCTATCATCCATGTTTAATTCCTTGTTAATGTTGAATATATCCATTATATTGTTAATTTTAAAAATGATGTTTAGTAGCTAAATTTGTTTTGGGCATGAATTGAGAAAAGGAATATGGATTGACTTGTTGACCGAAAATTAGGGATTAAAATTAATAAATTGGATTAGTTGTTTAAAATGATGAAATAGTAATTAATAATAGTTAGCCAATTTCATTAATTAAATTCTTGGAAAATTATTTCTAACTTGTCTATGAGATTAGAAATTAATTTGAGCCAACCATATTCGAGCACATTAATAAGGCCTAGAAATAGGATAATTTAATGAAAAGGATTTACATCTTGTTTATGAGAAATAAATTCAATTGCTTAAATAAAGAGTTTAACTAGTTAATGAATTTGGCTATTTTTTAAATTAAAATATTGGAAAATTATTTCTACCTTGTCTATGGGTTTAGAATATAATTTAAGCCAACCATTTTAAACACATTAATGACACCTAGAAATAGGATAAATTAATGAAGATAGTTTCTATTCTTGTCTATGAGGAAAGAAATTATTAATCCAACTTTAGTTTTAATTTCCCTAATTAATAGGTCCAAGAATATATCCATTTCTAATTACTCAATTCATTGCCCTTATTTGCATCAATCTTTAGAACACTTAATCTTTAAACATTAATCTTTAAATTGAACCTAGCTCTTAGTTATAAACTGGCATAATTTAGAACACAATCACTTTCCTATATTGAAAAAGCTTCCAACGATTAGAGATAGCCCGTGACTAAAATTAAATTAAGAAACTTCTCCGCCATTCCTCAAGAGACACGATACTCGGGGAAAAACCGAAAGGTTAACTCCGTTTTACTACAACGCCGCGAAAGCGGTTATCAATGGTACCTTTCCCTTTTGCCTCCGCCAATTCTCCATTGCTCATCTTGACCTTTGTCTTGATAGAAGTATCCAACTCATGGAAGATGGTCTCGTTGGATGTCATGTGGTTGCTGCACCCGCTATCGATGTACCACTCTTCTTCTTTCGCTTCGATTGCCGTGTGATATGTACCCCTTCTCCTTGAAATCTTCGGAATAGTTGGCCTGATAATTTCTTCTATCTCTGCAATATTTTTCTTCATGCCCGAACCTCTTTCAATTTTTGCATTGTGGCTTTCCTCGATGGTAACAATCTTTCTCTAAGTGGTTAGTCTCCTTGCATATTTTGCATGGTGGAAAGTTTTTCTTCCTCTCCTTGTTAGAATTCCCATCTTTATGAGATTTAAAGTTTCCACCATTTCTTGAGTCATTTCTTTTAATGTTGAGCTTAGATTGGAAGGCACTTTCTAATGAACTTTCATGACTTCTGTTCAGCCTGTGCTCACGTGCTTCTAGCGACCCCATTAATTCAGTGATGGACATTTTTGATAGATCTTTTGACTCCTCAATAGCCGAAACTACTGGATCATATTTTTCTGAGAGACTGATCAAGACCTTCTGGATTATTTTCTCGTCGGTTATGTTTTCCCCAAGAGTTCTCATTTCGTTGACTATATGTATAACCCGAGAGAAATAATCTTTTGCCATTTCAGAATCTCTCATCTTTAAATTTTCGAATTCTCTTCTTAAACTTTTGCCATTTTATTCTTGGGAAAATAGTATCACTAACGGATTGTTAAAGAAGATAGAGATCTCTAGCATTTTGCTGCTTTTGTTTCTTACATACCTCAGAAGTTGATGCGCCGTCGCTTGACGAGCACTTTGACACGGTGCGTCAAAATAAATTCAATACTAGCACTAATACGTAGTATAAGTGAAGTAGAGTTCGTATCCACAGGGAAAGGAATAATTCTCTTTTTAGTAAAACTAGTAAATAAGGGGGGTTTTGGGATTGAGTGATATAATTTAATTAAATATGAAGATGAACGACTTATATGAGATTTAATTCAAAGATAAAAAGGAGTTGGCATTGCTACTTTCCACTTGTTGATATATTTTAGTCGATCATTGTTATATCTATAACTTATCCCCTCTCAAATACTCAATCGAGGAGTATATCCAATTCATCGAGGGTAGTTATTAACAACGACCGTTCATTAATAACCCTTACTATTAGTCAAGTATAGAACACCGCCATATACCGACTTGATAGTAGCATTTAATCTCTTAACTCCTTGATGAAATCAATTGAGATTGATAACCTCAACACAACGGTTTCGGTTTAACCAACAAAATTAATCTCTCTTAAGTTTATTAACCACGACCATGCATTAATAAACCGAAGTTACTTACTTGTGAACCCATCAACGATTAACCATCAGTTCGTTGAACGTTTCTAGTAGTAATTAATTTTGAAATGTTAACTAATTGTCATCTTAGCAACACTCCCCAACATTAACATAGAGATAGATTAAGGGAAGAATTAATATTCAAGGAAGAAGATTAAATATGAATAGTCCTACTATAACTAATGTCAAGATGTTATCTAATTGTCATCTTAGCAACACTCCCCAACATTAATATATAGAGGAAGAAAATAAATACTACTATAATTAATTTCGAGATGTTAACTAATTGTCATCTTAGCAACACTCCCCAACATTAATATATAGATAGATTAAGAGAATAATTAATATTCAAGGGAAGAAGTTAAGAAAATAACTCACAACTTTAATAATCAACAAGCTTCAAGAGCAACACCAAGAAATGGAAGTTTAGCTCCTCATTTGGAGACTAAACATGCTATAAAAATATAAAATAAATACTATTCTAAACTAAGCTTAAGTGTATGGAGGAAGGAGTGAAAAATTAGTGAAGGAAAAGTGTGATATTTATAGGTGTTTTTCAACACCTTTGGCCGGGTACCCGACCGGGTAGAGTATCCACCCGACCGGGTCCGGTCAAAATCAAATATTTTCCATGTTCTGGTATTCTTCAGCACGTCTGTATGTCCTCGGTCAAGTCTCACCCGACCGGGTGAGGTATAGGGCCCGACCGGGCCAAACAGCTTCCTGGAGATTGCGTATGTTAACTCTAACCCGACCGAGTGAAGGTTTTAACCCGATCGGGTATATATTCCTGGGCAGCATTGTCCTTGTTTTTCTTCCTTTTCCTTGCCAACAACTCTATCAATACTTCCTAACTTACAAATAAAAGCTAAAAACACTTACAAATAAAATTAAACAAATGTTTACAACTACATACAAATGGTAAACAATCCACACAAAACAAATATAAAAACATACATTTATGCACTACTAACTAGTGCATATCATCGCTTCCTTTTTCTGGAGTGATGATTCCTTCTTCAACAATATCCCAAAGATCATGTGATTCTAGGCAAGTCTTCATACGGACACTCCAATAGTCGTAGCTTTCTCCGTTGAACATCGGAGTCGATACCGAGAAGCTTGATGTCGCCATAATGCCCTCTTGTGATCGAACAGGCTCTGATACCACTTGTTAGAAAATAGAAGAGGTTGTTGGTGTATGAATATGTTAAGTGATTTTAGTGAGGTGTAGTGTAGAGGAGGTGTTTTAGAGTAGAGATCTTGTCTCTAGAAAACTTGTATTTTATTGATGTTGCTTGGTTTTGCTTGGTGAGCAAATGAATACAACGAGTCCTATTTATAGGAGCTAGATGATCATTCTAGATCCTTATTAAATGCTAGGATTCTAGAGTATTCTACTTCTATTTAATCTAGACTCTCCTTAAGGATTCTCTAGTAGAGAATTCTCTAGACCCTTTTTAGCCATAACTCTAGAATATTTATAGTTTTAACTACATAGAATATTCTAGATAAATGCATCACTATTTAATACAGTTGAACAAACTAATACTCCCTCCGTCCCGCTAAGATTGTCGCATTTTACCTTTTCGGAAAGTCCCACTAAAATTGTCTCATGCCATATTTGGTAAAGATTGTGTGGCTCTACATCATTCTAATTTTATTCTTACTTTATCAATTTAATATCAACCACACAAACCTACTTTTCTTAATAATCGTGCCACATTCTCACGTCCCAATCTTAGTGGGACGGAGGTAGTATTATATAATAATAATGTGTACATATATAAAGCTATAGAAATGATATGGTCAGTCCGGACTAACAAGATTTTTCGTCAAGCCATGTCCGTTTGAGCGCCTTTCGTGTCGAACTTTTTGATGAAAGTTTTAGTGCATGCTCTTCATAAAGTGTGTAGAACGTCGTCACAAAACTTCATCACAAAAACAATCCCGATAAGTTAGTCTAATAATTTTTTGAAAAAATACGACGCTTTATGTGTGTGTGTATATACTACGTATATATAAGGCACCATATTTCAATTATTTTTTAAACTATTTCCCTTGTCGAAGTGTTAAATAAAACTTTGTGGATATGTTCTTACAATTCATGAAGAACATGCTCACAAAATTTTATCAAAAAACTCGACCCGGAGATCCCTCAAACGAGCTTGGCCAGATAGCAGTTCCCGTAAGTCCAGACTGACCAAATCACTCCTCAAGTCCTCGTACCTCTATAAAGCAAAATACCAAAAAATTTCATTTATAAAATTAAAGTGATAAATCACAACTACCCACGACGCGTTTTCATATGTTGAAAATGTTTGTGCATTTTTTTGTTTTTTAACTTTTTAAATATATCTTTTTCAATAAAACTAATTAAGACATTATTCTTCAAAGCATCTTCTATTCGATTTTGCAATCGATTCTTCTATGATTCTGTCGTTCCTTACAGCGATTCGTTGTTAGATCGTTCGAGTAAGACTTGTGGAGCCCAAAATTTTCTTTTTGCATGAATTTTCAATTTTTTAAAGTCATTGTTCCAACTTTTAAAATATATACATTGACATCCACTATTTTTGAGATAATTTTCTAAATAGGACTAAAACATAGTTAAAATTCACAAATAGTAGTACCGATGTTTTTTTCCCCAAATAAGACTCAATAACTATTGATTTGAGAAGTTTTAATCAACTTATTCTTTTAATCAAGTTTCAATAGCTCCAGTTTTTTAGTCCTATTTTTTATCTTTGTATATGTTTTTGTCTTATATTCAGCAATTTCTATTGTTTAAATGGTGGTGTCAATCATAAATTATTGAAAGATTACATACATCTATATGTAGATTATTTTATTTTAGTGGTGTCAATTTTAAAGTTTTCAAAAATTATATATACCTATATATGAAAACGAAAAACTTCAATTGACGCCACAACTCTATAGGTGGTTACGCCCCTACCATGATGTTGTCTCTTAGCATGGACACCGGTATAATTATGCTCGAGATTGGTTTAATTTTCGACTATCTTATTTATTTTGATTTAAATTATAAATATCATTCCTCGTATACTACTCCTTGGTTCACTACAACATTTCAACACTTAATGTATCACCCAAAAGTGTTACAATATCACTAAAAAGTGTTACATTAGAGCAAATGTAACACTTTTTTACTATTATAATTGCTCATATTGCATTAGGCCTATTGTAACACTTTATAGTCCCTGATGTAACATTTTTACTACTAAAAAGTGTTACACTAGGTCTAAAAGTGTTACATTAGAGAAATATGTAATACTTTTATAGATATGTTACATATTTGGTCTTACGCTAGATCTAAAAATGTATTTTTATATATATTTTTTTTGTAAAAAGTATCCATTATTTATTAAAAATTAAATTGTTTAAACCCATGAGAGATACTTATTCTTGCAACTGCATAGCCTTTAACTATCTTATTCTTGTAATTGGTTTTAAAAACGAGAGATTTTTATTCTTGTAATTTCTTAGTAACTCTATTATTTTTTTTAAAACATACTACACTTTAGCATTAAAAAAACAAAAAAAGATGGAACAGGATACCGAACCGGTTTGGAACCGGAACCATCGGTTCTAGAACCGGTATTATGCGGTTCGGGTTTCCTAAAATTTGGAACCGTAAACCGGCAGTTCGGTTGCGGTTCCGAACCGGGGACAGGTCGTATATGAATCAGGGACCTGAGCGATGAAATGTATCGACATAGGATCCAAATAATATAAAACTATCAATCTATAGTCTAACATTTCATAGGTTTTGATTTTTTTAATATGAATTCCATTGCTAATTTTTTACAAACTTTTCTATACATAAAGTTTTTTAGTTTAATAAAACGAAATAATATTTATATTTTTTAAAATAATACAATAATAAAATTCATGACAACTTAGATCCTAGATTGATAATTTTTAAACACTTAAGTTCCAAATTGATACTTTTCCATCATTCGAGATCCTATATCGATACATTTCATCTTTCAAATCCCGGATTGAAAATTCATCAATTTTTCGAGTCTTGAACTGATAAAATTCCCTCTGTGGAAGTTTTTTGATACTTCATTCATTCCTTTTTATTTGAAACATTTTGATTTTCACTCTTATCAACACACAACTTAACTGTCATTATATTTAATCTCTATTAGTAAAAAGATTAAAATCAGATTATAAAAATTTATAGTGAGACGATTCAACAATATTTCTCACAAAGTATAATTTGCATACATTAATATTAATATATAAGATGTATTTAAAATAGAATATGTAAATAGTATAAAATTATCCATGTTGTAACTAACACGAAATAAATGATAGTATTATCTTAAACTATATGAAAAAATAAATAAAATAGTCATATATTGATATAATAAATAAATGAAGTAATAAAGAAAAAAAATGAAGTAATAAAGTTGATAGATAAGGCCTTTGCGAAGGGGAGAGAGGAGCGGCGAAGGGAAACCCCAACCACCTCCTCCTCTTCCTTCCTTCTTTTCTTCTCTTCTTTTGACTTCAATCATGGAAAAAATTTCGTTTAATCAGTATTTTCAATTCTATCTATACGTTTATTTCCTAGCGTTGTCTAGAGATATTATTTTCGGTGGCGAAGTGTCGCTCGCCAAATCTATATTCCCCGTCATCATCGGTCGGGTGTTCTTGTCAGCTAGTAAGAGGTTTGTATTTGCTTCTTTATCAATCATGAATCAGGATTTCTTCTCCTATCTGGTCCAATGAAATTTATGTTTATCATGAGAGGAACCCCAGAAAAAAGAAGCCATCTTGCTATTAAGAATCTTAATAACTTTTCTAGGAATAGAAATTATGCATCATAAAACGTGAATGAAGGGAATGTTGTAACTAAAAAAGAATGGAGGAAGTATATGATATACAACATTTGTGAAAAAAGAGATGCATATCACATGACACGTAAGTGCGTAACTAGGGAGAATGAACAAAGAGGAAGCGGTCCAACTCAGCTGGTGTCAACTCACTCTCTCTTATGAGAGATTTCGAATTCAATTCTCAATGAAATGAGATTGTTAATCCAGTTTATCTAAGCTCTCAATCCCCTCCCCTGACCCCAGGGTAAAAAAAGATAAAAAATAAATGGGAAGATGAACAAAATCACACACAAGTTACTCAAATTGGGCTCCTTGATTATCGCCGTTCTCTTTTCCTTCAAATCGACAGAAAACAGCCAACAAAGAGCAAAAGCGCGCTGCATTCCTCGTCTTCCACCAGCCGCATGAAGGAGCAATTCGTTTTCTCGTCTCAGTGGACAGAAGCCTATCAGGCTATCACAGACTAGCAGAGACCAAAATGACAAATTCCGCCGCACAAACACAAGGAAGCGGGTTATGAATTTCGGCTCAAACAGATAAAATTCATCCTTTTATTTGTGTTGTCATTTCTCTGCCTTAAGCTTCAGGTTTTCTGGAGAGGGGTCGTTACTGTTTACTGCCATGGATCTAACGCCCTTTAACTTAGACATAGATGATCTTATTAGTGAATTCGCTGAGGTATGGACTGCTTGGCACTATAAGACTATAATGTGATCCTCGTTCATAAATTATAAAGGTGTTCAATACTATTTCTTTTTCTTTTTCACATTTTCCACCAATACACTCATCCCCATCATAGTTTCAACAACTTCAGCCTATTTCACACATATCCAGCCAATATGAATGTTACCAATCTGGCTCTAAATTACTCAATCCAACCCATTACCCAAAGAAAGAAACCGGTAAATATACAATAACAAATACCGATGTCTTCTAAAAACCTTGGTCAGGTTTATATAGGGGATGTTTGGATCTGATTCTTAAAACTGCTTTAGAGAGTAGAAGCATTTTTTGGAGTGTTTGGGTGAAAGTGCAGAATTGATTTTGGTGCTCTAATTTACTCCTAGAAGCTGGGGGAGACGCTTCTGAAAATGATTCTGATTCAATTCTTCTGCTTTAAAAAAGAAGCAAAAACATAATCAGTTTCAAACACCCCATACTAACATAGTATTAATGTATGTATCACTCACTGAAGGAGAACTTTCTTGCTTGGCACATTATAATTGATGAAAAATTAGAGCTAAAAAGGGGTTAAATCTGGTCTGAACCCATTTAAATGGAACCGAGCTGCTTATAGTCTCTAATGCACATACCATTCATAAACCATAGAGTTCCTGAACATGCTGAGTAATTGCTTCGGGGCATGACTGAGCCCGTAGAAGCTCCAACCGAGTCGAATGTGCAGTGAACTGCAAGATGTAATCTTCATTTTCCTTCACTGTCCCATAAAGCCAGCACAAGACCTCATCTGTGAAAGCAAGGCATACTCCGCCCTGCCAATAACCTTTGAGTTTTACCCTTTGTGTGATCTCATTGGTTCTCATTCTTTCAGTCCGGACAAGAAAACCATTGTCATCCCTAAATCCAACAACAATGTATTCCACACCAGCAATGAACGACTGGATCCAGAACTTGAGCAGTTTCTCCCTCTCAAATCTTTCCTCAGTACGATGGTCAAACAACTCCCGGCTTGTTTTCAGTTCAATATAGAATCTCTTTTCATCATTATCCCTTGAATCACAACAATCTATTTCAGCCCCCAGCAAAACACGGTGCGCTCCTATTTTGGTTTTAAGTACAGAACAGAATTCGACATTTGCATCGATGTCACGAATCTGTTCTCTACCACGATCTTCAGTGGCCAGGCTTTCAAAACAATAGCCCCAGTAACACCTTCTTCTATCCAGATCACATTTTGGCCTTTCGGGTAATTTGTGCACATCCAGGTAAACAACACCTTTCCTTTTGTGAACTCCCATTTCCCAAGGCTCATTCCTGATATAGGCAGTAGCCATGATCTTATTCAAGTTGTTGCGGAATGTCACAAAGTGCATCCTTTCAAGTGAAATTTCCTCCTTCTTGTGCCTAATGCAGGCAAGAAGGTCACCAAAACCCTGAGATCCCAGATCTCTCTTCTCAATGAAAGTATCAAAGCCTTCATTCAGGTCAGCCCCGATATCTTCTGTAATAAGACGTTTAAATAGCCTCAAGCTACTATCATCAAAGTAGACGTCTCCCCCTTCGACTCGACTATAGCAAGCAAGTTCACAAGGCTGTTGGATTGCAGTGGACTTTCTTGCCAGTGTTTCTTCACTCTTTGCAAACTTAAGCTCAGAAACAAAACGCTCATCGCGAGGAACATTCGGGAACCTGGAACCATAATTGGAACCCTGTCTTGGTGGATAATTGGGTGTAGCAAGAATGCCATTCCCTCTACCATTCTGCCAACGTCCACGCCCAATACCTCCTCTTGATGGGTTGCTTATATTACGCACTGGGGGCAAAACAGGAACTGGGTAGGGACTAGTAGCATGTGTTTTTACATACTCTTCATTATCTGAGCCAAACAGATCCTTATCCTCATCCTCAATCTCATTATTAGAAGATCTGACTTCCCCATGAGCGTCTTCTTCTCTGCCGCTGTCGCTTCCACTCCCACTAACGCTGCTGCTTCTATTGGAAGACGAAGGTGAAGAAGAACCACCCGAAGAGGCGGATGAGGAGGACGATGAAGAAGACGATTGTGAGGCTGATGACTGGCGCTGCTGTGGAGGGTGTTGTTGCTCGTCGTTCGAATAGTCGTCTCCGTCTTCATCTTCCCCAAACAGCTCAACCGCAAAGTTGGTATTCATGATCTGCTCCTCTCCCGTTATCTCTATATGCTCGCAGATCGAATGTCACCCGATCTGTTAGATCTTTAGGACAAAAGCATTTACGACCTTAAAATCATCGACGGTGGCAACGGCGGTGGTGCGGCTGCAAGTAGGGATGGGAACGGTTCAGACGAGTGAAATTCCTAAACTGCATTATATATAGAGATTTTATACGAAAATAATTTAAATATACCTAAAAAGATGCAAAAAATTTATAGAGCCTGTATGACTCCCTTGTGGAGTCTTGGGGTTCCAAAAACTTATTCTAAAAAGGCGTGAGATTAGAATGTTTTTAACTAAAATTTGTTGGTTTGGTCTGATCTAATTTGTTTAAGTTTGATCTGGAATAGTCTAAATTTGTCTGATTTGGTTTAACTAAATGTCTGACCTCTGTGTATTTTATTATTATGAAAGTCCGGTCTGGTCTGTGTAAGTCTGATTGGTCTGAACTATTTTTCTATTTCTCGGTGTATCAGACTATTGAATTTGGATTGGGTGACGAGAGGTCTGTTTTAACCGTCTTTCAATTATGCCCATTATAGGATGAACGAATCACATTGTTTTATGGATGATGATTAATTGTAAGTCTGGTTCGAGGACTGACGGATGGAAGTTGACTTTTTATCTCTACTAGTATAGTACCCGTGCATACGCACGGGAAATAACAGTTGGTGCATATGTGTTTATTCATCATCTAATTACATATTAAAATAAAATTAACTTTTATTATTTAAAAGTTATTTTTGAAAAATAAAAGTACAATAAGTTATTATCATAAAGTATAATCCAAACAAAAAATATTGAATGAAGAATATATTAATTGACATCACTCATTAGAATTTGCTACCTATAAATTTTCAAAATTAAATTAATTTTAAAATTAAATACTACCTCCGTTCCATTTTATGTATCTTAGTTTGACTTGGCACGATTATTAATGAAGTGGTTGAAAAAGTAAAAGTTGTGGTTGATGTTTGAGTATAATAAAGTGAAATGGTATAGACCACATATTTCTTTCCAAAAAAGGAAAGGAGACACTTATTTTGGGACAACCCAAAAAGGAAAGTAGAACAGATAAAACGGGACGGAGGGAGTACTATTCAAAAAAAGTGAGTACAATAAGTGAATGACATAAAATTCAAGTCAATACAATAAATATTAAAACTAACAAATATTAGTTAAATAAGAACTTGATAATCATGAGTTAAATTAGTGCTAACATATGAGAGAAAATCTGGCTAACAATTAAGCGATAGAATTGTCCCTTTTATATGTAGTGAATAGTGATTTTAGATATAAGACAATCCGGCTAACAATTGAGAGTTAGAATTTTCTCTCGTATGTAGTTCTTTTAGGTATAAAATAACTAAAACCACTACATATGAGAGAGAAAACTATTCCACTCAATTGTTAGTTAACTTATCTTATTGCTAAAAGCACTACATGTCTTCTTATACTAAAACAATATGTATGAGAAAGAAAATATTTCAGCTCAATTATTAGCCAATTTATCTTCTTATACCTAAAAGCACTACATGTGAGAGATAAATTTTCTTGCTAAATTTTTAGCCATATTATTTTATATTATCTTCTTATATCTAAAAGCACTACTCGTGAGAGCTAAATTTTCTTGTTAAATTGTTAGCTGTATTATCCTATCTTATGCTTAAAAAAAACTGCATATGAGAGACAAAGTTCTTCCGCTCAATTGTTAGAAAGCTTATATTCTTATCTTCTTATTATACCTAAAAGCACTACATATGAGGGGGGAAAGTGTCTCGCTCAATTGTTAGCCGACTTAATTTGTACTTAAAAGAACTACACATGAGAAAAAATTAACCCTCTCAATTGTTAGCAAGTTTATCTTCTAATACCTAAAAATACTACATATGAGAGAAAAATTATTATCCCTCTCAATTCCCCTACTCAATCGGTAGCTAATTTGTCTTCCAATACCTAAAAGACTACGTATGATAGAGAAATTTCTCCTGCTAAATTATTACCAAGTTGATCATCTTATACCTAAAACCATTACATTTGAGAGAGGAAATTCTTCCCTACATTTGTTAGCCGACTTATCTTATACCTAAAAGCATTATATATAAGAGAGAAAATTATCTCGCTCAAGTGTTAGGATATTTGTCTTCTGCTCCGTAATACCTAAAAGCACTACATGTGAGAGAGAAAATAATCTCACTCAATTCCCTGCTCAATTGTTTGCAAGCTTATTTTGTAATATCTAATAGGGCTACATATGATAGAAAAATTTCTCCCGCTTAATTATTAGCAATCTTATCTTCTAGTGCCTAAAACCACTACATGTGAGAGAAAAATTTATCTCGCTCAATTGTTAGCCGGTTTATCTTCTTCTTATAATACCTAAAAGCACTACATATGTGAAAGAAAATTCTTTCACACAATTGTTAGCCGGCTTATCTTACACTTAAAAGAACTACATATGTGAGGGAAAACTTTCCCGATCAACTATTAGCAAACTTATGTTGTAATAATACCTAAATTGTTAGCCAGCTTAATGGTTAGCCGACTTATCTTATCTTATATCTAAAAGCACTATATATGAGAGAGAAAATTCTTCCACTCAATTATTAGCCGACTTATCTTGTACTTAAAAAAAACTATTTGTGAGAGATCAAGTTCTTCGCTCAATTGTTAGCAAGCTTATCTTATAATCTTCTAATAACTAAAAGCACTACATGTGAGAGAGAAAGTTTCTCCGCTCAATTGTTAGTCAACTTATCTTACCTAAAAGCACTACATATGAGAGAGAAAATTCTCCCACTTAATTGTTAGCCGACTTATCAATTGTTAGCAAGCTTATCTTCCAATCTTCTAATACCTAAAAACACTACATATGAGAGAGAAAATCTTCCCGCTCAGTTTTTAGTCAACTTATCTTACCTAAAGGCACCATACATGAGAGAGGAAATATTCTAATACCTAAAAGCACTACATATGAGAGAGAAAATCTTCTCGTGCAATTGTTAGTTAACTTATCTATCTAATACCTAAAAGCACTACACACAAGAGAGAAAATCCTCTCGCTCAATTGTTAGCCGGCTTATCTTATTCTTAGATGAACTATATATGAGAGAGAAAGATTTCTCGTTCAATTGTTAGCAAGTTTATCTTCTAATACCCAAAAGCACTACATATGAGAGAGAGAATTTTTCCGCTCAATTGTTAGCGAGTTTATTTTATTATGCCTTAAAGCACTACATATGAGAGAGAAAATTCCTCTGTTCAATTATAAGCCGACTTATCTTATCTTATCTTATACTTAAAAAATTGATTATGAGAGAGAAAATTATCCCGCTCAATTGTTAGCAGTCTAATCGTCTAATATCTAAAACCACTACATATGAGAAAAAAACTTTTCTGCTCAATTTTCAGCCAGCTTATCTTATACTCAGTAGCATTATATATGAGAGAGAAAATCCTTCCGCTCAATTGTTAATCAGCTTATATTATACTTAAAAGAAGTGTTAATGAGAGAGAAAGTTCTTTCACTCAATTTTTAGCAAGCTTATGTTCTAATACTACGTGCCTCTGTCTCACACTCTCACTAATATTGAGACATGAGGAGGCGGTGCGGTTATGAATAAAAGTGTGACGACAAATCAGAATAGAAAAAAATAATAGTATAATTGACATATATATATCCAGCTAACAAAGAATTTAGAGTATGTTTGTAATTATATTCACCACATTTGCATGTGAAGGAATTAAAAGTTAACTCTAGTTCTTATAACAATTGTAAAAATTAAAATAAAGGTAAAAATGATACAAAGTATGATGGAGATGATGATAAAAAAATTAAACTATCATAATTTCATATTTCTTACTACTGATGTGTGGTATGACTCTCATTGAATCACTTTAATACACCATGTGACTCTCTAATGTAACTTCATTCATTCGGCAAAAAAAACTTCAATCCTACTTATTTTGATTATTATACAATCCAACGCATACATAAAAAAACATACCCTGGAGTATTAAAATTTATATTTTTTAATCTTTCATATAATACCAATATTGTATATACAAAATTTAGTTTTTTTTTTAACATTTATCAAAGAACATTCTATTTTTCAACCTCGACATGCATTATTTTGCATTATTTCCAATATTCATAATTTGGCCAAAATAAGGATATTGGATAAAATTTGACTTATTATTTTTTGGGAATTATAATTATGAATTAGGTAGTATTTTATATCAAAGTGAATATAAAATCATACTCATAGCAAATTTAGTTACTTTTTTGTTCACAAATGTCTATTAAAGAAAATTTTCCTAATAGTCACTTTGATATAACTTTCAACATAATTATATTCACTAAAAATTAATAATTCATATTCTTATCCATTATCTTTATTTTGGTCATATATTAGGAATTATTTCTTTATTTATTACGGAATAATCTATATAGAGGTTGGAAAATGGGAAGATTGTTTAATAAATCTTCAATTTTTTTTTTAAAATTTTATATATTTATTATTGGTGTCATATAAAAGATCATAAAAAACTATCAATTTTGATATGCAGTTTATATTAGGAATTATTTCTTTATTTAATACGGAATAATATGTATTAAGGTTGGAAAATGGGAAGATTGTTTAATAAACCTTCAGATATGTTTTTAAAATTTTATATATTCAATATTGGTGTCAAATGAAAGATCGTAAAAAATTATGAATTTTGATATAAATTTTACAAAACTTAGATAAATGCTTAAAAAGTTATAACACTTTAAAAGAAATGGTGTTTTCATATATTAGGCCCCACCAAATTAATGCCACGTTTTTTTTAATATGAAGGGTGACCTTCCTTTGTTATTTGCTTGTTCGGTTAGTTCGATATTAACCTTGAATTAGCCACATGGCATTTGCATAGTAGAGGAGTAATTTGTGGGGAGAATGACACATAAGATTTTTCAAGGGTAAAATTGTATTTATTTGAGTTATTTCTTTTCTTATATATAAATAGATTCCCGGTCTGAATTCTTGAAAAAATTGTTATTTTTTAGTTGAAAATTTGAATGTTAAATACAAAAATCATAGATGGATAGTGGAGATACAATAATTAATATTACTATGAAAAACTATATACAAACACTTCTAACATAAAATATGTGTTTGGTTATTCTAAAATGTTATAATATGATTTGTTCTATATTGATTATTTATTACTTGCGAAAATTAGTTTTTATTTGCAATCAATTGTATGTTACATTGTTGCCTTTTTGTATTTTCCACAAGGATGATAAATGTACTAATGAAACAAAAAATATTATGCATAAGGAAGTATTTTAGAATTTGTAAAAAAATATTATTTTGTGTTATAAGACATTGTTTATTGAATTGAATTCAATTTAGACATTTATTAGAGTCACAGTAATTATGAATACTTTGAGAAATATGTCAAAAGACTGTAATCATATCCCATGTATCGCACATGTTCTATATTAGTTCAACTTAAACATTAACTCAATCTTTACTAATTTTGATTATTGCAAAATAAAAATTATGTGTTTGGTAAAAAAGTTGATCAATAAAACTAATAAGCATAAATATGTTGTTATCAAATGGGCTTTAAGTGTG